AATATTGAAAGCTTTTCTGTCTAGTATAATGTAAGCATCCCACTCATGGTCTCATTCCCATTTCAGTACTCTTGTCAATCATGCAACGATTAAGGGAAGCTGGATTGTAGGAAGAAGAATGTGGCAACACGACTGGAGAAGGCTTACAGTCTGCGACATGCAGATGACACATAAAGGGAAAGTGAGGAGGACTTGAGGCACTTGCTGATGAAGATCAAGGGTCGCAGCCTTCAGTATGGATTACAACTCAATGTCAAGAAGACCAAAATCCTCACAACTGTATAGTAGGTAACATCATGATACATGGAGAAAAGGTTGAAGTTATCAAGGATTTCCTCATGCCTGGATCCACCATCACTGCATGTGGAAGCAGGAGTCCCGAGACAAGGCATGTATGGCACTGGGTAAAACTGTTGCCCAAGAACACTGTATCGTGTGTTGAAAAGCAAGGCTGTCACTGTGAGGACTAAGGTGCACCTGACCCAAACTATGGTATTTTCAGTTGCCGCATATGCTTGAGAAAGTCGAACTTTGAATAAGGAAGCCCAGAGAAGAGTCCATGCATTTGAATTGTGGTGCTGGGGAAGAATATTGAAAGTACCGTGGACTGACACTTCTGTTTGGGGAGGGCGAGATTTTGTCGTACAGACTTTGGCCACATGGTCGGAAGAGACCAGTCCCTAGAGCAGAACATCATGCTGGGAAAAGTAGAAGACCAGGGGGAAAGGAAGGGCCTCACTGAGGGGGGTTGCACAGTGGCTGCGACAATGGGCACAGGAAGAGTTGTGAGGGCGGCCCAGGACCGGCAGAGTACGGGTCTCTTGTGCATACGGTGACTATGAGTCACAACTGCTTGTGTGAAAGTTCCTGGCACCGCTCCCTTGGCCTGTTTAAGCCATCAGGTCTCTGGACACTGAGAAGCCATTGCCACCAGGTGAGACTAGGCACTCTCGCCCATGCTACGGGTGTCTTTGCCTCGTCTTCATCCTTAAAATCGTCATAAATGTTCTCTTTACGTTTTCTATGAGATGGAGAGCCTCTTTCGTACCCTAAAACAATCTGTACCGTGAAATAGTGTTTCTTCATAAAAATGGATGGAGCTTTCATACATGCTACAACATCATATTTTCTATAGCCCCATAAAGATGAACTAGATTTGACGAATATGTTGAGACAGTAGTGAGATTTGTAACTACTGTGGACTGCTGGAGGTGGGGACTGAGGAGTTAAGAGGTTAATGACTACAGAGTTTCTGTTTGGGATGATACAAAATTTTGAAAACAATAATGGTACCGATTGTACAATATTGTGAATGTGATTAATGCTATTAAATTAAAAACAAGGAAATGCTGAAAATCATAAATTTTATGTTGTGCATATTCTACCTCAATTTTTTAAAAATCACCTCAAGCAAATAAGCATTAAAATATTTAATAAATCTGGATGGTAAGAATGATGATATTGTAATAATTTATTTGATCCATCCCAATGCTTTTGAAATATTTCCCTTTTTAAAACAAATAGAGGCAACATGCAGAAATAAGTAGAATGGAATTATTATAAAATGCAAGAAAATATACTATGAGACTTTTGAACAGTATTACTAGATACTACAAGACAGTTCTGTTCAAGAAATGCCCACGCAATTCTTAGAGAAAATGATCTTCAACCCAGCAGTATATAGCCAGTTAAAATACCCATCAATTGTCTGAAAAGAGGCAAACACATCTGACAGAAAGCCGTTCTTTTTTCCTCAAAGCATCTAGTGTAGAACGTAGTTTTCAAAACAAGAGTGGACACTGAGTAGCAGAACTTTGTGACTGAGATCCAGGACCCTTGGGATTTAACTGGTGGCATAGTGCATTACACCCTGAGCTACTAACTACAAGGTCAGCGGTTCAAGGTTCGTTGGTCGCTCTGAGAGAGAAAGGTGGGAGCCTAAAAGGGCAGTTCTACTGTCTCCTGGGGGTCACTGTGAGCCAGCATTGACTGGGGGGCAATGGACTGGAATGGTGCTGCTGGTGGTGGTGGTGGTGGTGGTGGTGGTGTGTCTGGGTGGTTGAATGATGTGAAGTGAAGTTCTCTGACCCATCTGTGTATCCAGCACAGGGAGTCTGAAGGGAGCAAACGAAGATAGAATTCCAGGCCAGAGGACTCCAGGAAAAGGAAAAACAAATAGGCAAAAGGAAAAGGACCGTGAAGAAATTGATCTTAAATGTGTCCTTCAAGTTCTATTGGTCAGTTTAAGAAAAAGTAATAGTAGATATAATAGAAATATATGTCATAAAATTAAGTAGGAATTATTAACTCAGAAGAAAACAAAAAAAGTTACACAAGAAAGGAATTACAGTCATTCACTACTTGGCTCAGCCATAAAAATACTTATGCAGTCATAAATTTTCATAATATTTACATAACCAAATCTTGGAGAAAATTACTCAGAGTGATGGAGGAGAAGAGAGGAACATATTCAGTCTAAAAATGCTAATATATACCCCCCATAGTAGAATTCAATAGATAATCTTTACATGATGGATGCATAAGCATCAATATGAGGATAATATTTTCAAAATAAAAGTAAATACTTTTAGAAAACAAGTTTTAAAAATTAAAAGTAGATACCATTTAACAGGATAGTAGTAGGTGGATAAATGTGGTTAAGTGAGGCTACTTTTTTTAATATTAGATCTAGGGCAGCTGGAATTTTAAAACTATGTACACATAATTAATATTCTAGATAAAGATAAAACATAATATAAAAAGCAAAAAAGTGAATGTCTGATATAATAAAATTGCAGTAGTTATTATCCAGACAAAGGCACCTAGTTTATCTTTAGGAGTTTATTATTCCCTATATTAGAAAGAGAAATCGTGGTGAAGGGAAATTTCTTTAAAATGCTCTGCTATTCGTATCTCTGTAACTCCCACCACCTGAATTTATCCAGGCCTTTGAAGCTGCCACCCAAAAAGGTGTGTGAACCACTAGTAGATACTCTTGGTCAGTTTCCGTTGCCTTTTTCGTGGTTATAAGAGAATACTTCAGAAGCAAGACGAGTGAGAATTCCTGGGACCATAAAGGAAGACAAATGCCCAGCAGTGTACATTCAAAGTCCCTGTTTGAAGCGGTGGAGGCTGCAGACCAGATCCCATGCCACACAGATATCAGCAGCGGAGGCAAGGGGACCATGCGACAGAGCAGAGACTCTGAGGCAAAGGAGTGAGCTGGCTGGCTTCCTAGCCCAGTGAGGCAGAGGTTAAGAGCCGGAGAGGCTGAGGACCCGAGAGAGACTTGTTTGCTGGGTGAGAAGGGTCCATGCTGTGGACCAATGACTCATCCTTAGTGTTAGTGTATTAGGATCCTGACATGTGGTACCTCCCTAACTTCTCTAATAAAACCCCAAGATAGTGAGTATTGTCTGTGAGTTCTGTGTGAAGATTGCAACAGATATTTGAACTCAACAGAGAGGTACTGCCATGGGAAGAATGGCTGCTCTCTGAATAGGATGAAGAAGGCTGCAGAGTGAAGTCCTGTCTGACCTCTGTCTCCTGGCAATAGGCCTTGGGCTGGTAAGGAGTGGGACGCTCGCTCTCCCTTTGGAAGTCCGAGGAGGCCAGATGTGCTCTCAGGCCCTTTTCTCAGAAACTGAAGTCCCTTCAATGGTCTATTTAAAAAAAATGCAATTCTATGCCAACGTTCTTGAAATTTCTGAAAAATTTAAAAGTCACCCAATATACTGTCATTATTTCTATAATTATAGAATTGTAATTTTTCTATGTTTATAATACTCATTATATTAAAACGTAAGTGTTAGGAAAAGAAAAAATGTCACGGGGCCATGGTATGTGGCTTGCTTTGTGTTGGTGTGGTTTGGTTTTAATTTTGCCCTCTGTCTCTCCTTATTTGAGATAGTCAGCACTGTATTGAGTGTCCAAATGAGGCCCTTACTTGTGTTGCTGTTTCCTGGAATGCTCAATCTCATCTTTATTTCTTGGTTCTTTTTATTTGCCCTTGTCATCATGGTATGTGTACTTTAACATGATAAGACTTTTAAGAATTGAAATGCTTAGCAATATATCAATATCTCTGATCGCCCTTGCTATAATGCATAGCAAGCCAACCAATCTCAATGCTTATCTGAAACTGAATCTTCAGGTTGGCGAAGCAAACCTTCAGTGTGCCCAAGCCTTGAGAGTTTCCCAGGATGTGAGATTCCATTGTGAGATCTGTAGCAGTCTCAGGCATAGTGGGACAGGGACCTAGCTGAGCCAACTGTGTCTTACAACCAACAATCACATTCACACTGCCAGTGCTCCGGCCCCTGAATATTCATTAAAGTAGTTGTGGCTTGTCATGACTTCGGATGAGAGAGGCTGGTCTAAAAATTCTTCACGCCCTTGAGCTGTATACAGTAGGCGCTCCTAGGCCCTGTTCTCTCTGGTTTGTTCCAGGCCTGTCCGTCTTTAATCTCATTGATCACCCTTTCCTGGGTCTTCATAGGCTTCGGTGACATATACTGCTTAATGAAGTAGCTAAGTTATTACATGAGCAAGAGTCTGAGGGGGAAAAATCCTTTCTCATGACTGCCCCCACAAGTCTACTATAGTTCATCATGCTATCACTGAATACAATACATGGTAGTCATCTTAACTTTGTGGTTACTCTTACATAGTAAAAACAACAACAACAAAACAAACTGAACCCATTGTAGTTCCCCAATTCTGAAATTGGTGTTGTATTATTGTTGTCTGTATTCTGAAATTGGTGTTGTATTATTATACTCAGTCAGGCAAACTTCCAGGCATGGAATCCATAGATACAGAATTATCTGGTAAACTGGTAGTTTTCTGTACCTCCTATTGGCCTGTGGAATACAACAGGGGAAAGGAAAGCAAAACCCAAACCCCACCTTTCCAAATGTGAAGGTCAAAGTCAGTCATAATACACAAAAGGACTGATAGTCATAAAGTAATTCTGATCCTTGTAAATTGCCTTGTTACAGGAAACGGACCTTATCCTGACTTTCAATATTTCAATGCACCGATCTTGGTGGATGGAGAATGGACCAGGATGTACGGTGACGTCAGTGACACCTGCCCCAGATTGGGCCCCAGAAGACCATCGCTACATCACGGTCTCAGGGTGTTTTCTGGAATACCAGTACATAGAAGTGGCGCACAGTTCCCTGCAGATTGTCCTCGCAGTAAGTGTTCCCAGCCAACCACTTACTCTGTGCCTGGGGCAGTGCTGTTTCTGTGTGAGCTCAGTGCACGCCAAGTGTGGCCCCGCGCCTGATTCACGCCAGGTTGATCCATTTGTCAGATTAAACGTCACCATCCTCTGGACCGAATGTGCTGATGCTTTTTGACAATCAGCAAATAGATTTTGGCACCTTCAGCATTTTGCCTAGGAAGTTCAAGCCAAGATTTGATTAGTTTGGCTTTTAGTAGACTTTTCCAATGATTCCAGAGGGAAGATCAGAGTGTTTTCACAACATTCTCCAAAACCCAGTTTGGTTAGATCTCAATAGAATTACATATTTATTTATTGAACAGATATGCATATTTGTTCTGTTTTCTTTTTTTCTTTCTGGCTGGGTGGCTAGTGCTGGAAATCTCTTCTCTACTTCTCTCTTTCTTGGATTTTTCCCCCCATATCATTAGTGTCTCTCCCCTCTCCCCCCATCACCCATATTTTTAAAAATTCAGCTTTTCCATATATTGTACTTGTAGATCTCGATGTCCGTATTTTGCACAGTCCTGAGGTTATGTGCTAGGCTGCGAACTGCAAGGTCAGTCTCAGCCACAGGGGCAGAGCAGCCTGTGCTATGTGGTCACTATGCAGCAGCATCGACTCGATGACACTGAGTTTGGCTTTGGTTTTTATACAAATAAAGAACTCTCCCTTTCCCGGGAGGTGGCAGGGGTTATAAAGAACATATTTATATAGCATAAGTCTGTGTTATGTAAAATGCATTCTTTTACATTGTATCACTATGATAAAGAGACAATTAAGCGCAGCTCCTCCTCCAGAACAACTTTTACTAAGGCTTTAAGTGTTTGTGGGAAAATTCCATCATATGTTCATCTCATTTTCCATGAACTTTCTGAATGAATCCCTCTTGTATATAATCTTGTAGGATTTCAATAGTTAAGGTAACTTTTAACATGCATGTCTTCACTTATGCATTGACGGTCTTATAGATACAACTCAGCATGTATATTCCTGAAACTTTATGGAGATCTATAACTGGTGTGCACAAAATCCCCAAACTGAAAGCACTCACATAGAGTTGATTCTGACTCATAGAAACCCCTTCAGATGGAGTCAAAATGCCCTTTGGATTTACACGATGGTCAGTCTTTACAGGAGCAAACAGCCTCATCTTTGTCCCAGAGCACATCTGGTGGGTTTGAACTGTTGGTCTTGCCATTTATCATCCAATGCATGACATACAACACCACCAGCACACCTTGTGCAGAGTTAGCGACGACCCGTGATGCGAATAGAATAATCCTTTTACCTATTCTTCAGTGAATTATTGTGTTAGTGGGATTGTCTGGGGCAGTGGTTCTCAGCTTTCCTAATACCACGACCCTTTAATACAGTTCCTCATGTTGTGGTGACCCCCAACCATAACATTATTTTCATTGTGCCCGCCCGGCCTCCCAGCTCCCAGTTGCTGGAAGATGAAAGAGACCACACAAGGGACAGGGCCTTGGGACCCTGAGCCTCCCAGACCTGGCTGAGGCCCACGTTGCTCAAGCCCCAGGAGAGAGCACAGTCGTTGGCCCCCACCTCCTAGACCCCGACTCAAATCAGGTGGAGGGTTTGGGCCAGATCCCGGGAGAGGGACTCTAGTGCCAGCAAGATGCCTCCCTGTCCCTCAGCCCTCCTTGGATGCCTCAGCTAGTGAAGAAGAGGAGGAGGAAGAGGAGGAGGAGCATGAAGATGAAGAGGATGAAATGACATCATGGAAGCTGCCCCCCAGATGGGGTCAACTGGGAACTTCCCAGAGGCCCCCACCCTTCCCGTCTGAATCATCAAAAAGCCTGCTCACAAGCCGCTGCAGAGCTATTCGAGCCTTTCCGATGCTGCTCTACCCAAAAAGCACCTCACTGACATGCCACTGGAAACTTTGGGGGCATCACTGGGGCCGGCCGCGGGGCCTCGTGCACCCCAAGAACCATCTTTCACCCCAGGAAGGGGACGCTACACCACAGGCACCATCCCCCTGCTGTTGTTTTGACTCCCCCCAGGGGCCACCACCTCCCCTGCTGGGTCTGCTAGGTGCTCTCATGACTGAGGATGGTGTGAGGGGGTGCCCTCTGGGCCCCACATGGAAGAAGATGGGCTCAGGTGGACTTCAAAGTCTCCTCTGGACCCTGACTCAGACCTCCTCTCGTGTACTCTGCCCAATGGCTTTGGGGGCCCACCTGGTCCAGAAAGGGAGCATAGTTTGGCATCCCCTGATGCCAGCATCCTCATCAGCATTGTGTATAGCCTCGGGGACCATGTGGCCCAGGAGCTTTTTCAGGGCTCAGATTTGGGCACTGTGGAAGAGGCAGAGCGTCTTGGAGAGAAATCTGGCCAGCACAGCCCACTGAGAGAGGAGCACGTGACCTGTGTGCAGAGTATCTTAGATGAATTCCTCCAAACTTATGGCAGCCTCATTCCCCTCAGCACTGATGAGGTAGTAGAGAAGTTAGAGGACATTTTCCAGCAAGAGTTTTCTACACCTTCCAGGAAGGACCTAGTGCTGCAGCTGATCCAATCCTATCAGAGGATGCCAGGCAATGCCATAGTGAGGGGCTTCCGAGTGACCTATAAGTGGCATGTGCTGACCATGGATGACTTAGGGACCTTGTATGGACAGAATTGGCTCAATGACCAGGTGATGAACATATATGGAGATCTGGTCATGGACACAGTCCCAGAAAAGGTGCATTTCTTCAACAATTTCTTCTATGATAAACTCCGTACCAAGGGTTACGATGGGGTGAAAAGGTAGACCAAAAATGTAGACATCTTCAATAAAGAGCTTCTGCTAACCCCCATCCACCTGGAGGTGCATTGGTCTCTCATCTCTGTTGACATGAGGGGATGCACCATCACCGATTTTGACTCGCAGTGCACTCTAAACCATCGTTGTCCTAAGCATAGTGCCAAGTATCTACAAGCAGAGGCTTTGAAGAAAGACCAACTGGATTTCCACCAGGGCTGGAAAGGTTACTTCAAAATGAATGTGGCCAGGCAGAACAATGGTAGTAACTGTGGCGCCTTCATGTTGCAGTACTGCAAGCACCTGCCCTATCTCAGCCATTCAGCTTCACCCAGCAGGACATGCCCAAACTCCATTGGCAGATCTACAAGGAGCTGTGTCACTGCAGACTCACTGAGTGAGCCTGTTTAACCCCAGACCCGAGCCCTTTCACAGGCAAGGGAACACGGAAAAATTCTTCCTCACCAAGAAGCTCCCAGTTCCTTTCTTGCCTTTTCCCACCCAGTTCTTTTGGTTTTTCATATTTAATGTTTTTAATTCCTGTATTTCCCCCATCCCCTTTGAGAGACTATTTGTTGCTTTCTGATAAGCAGGGGACAGCCATGGTTATGCCTCTTTGTCCCTCTGTAAGGGAATGTGACCCTGGGGCCTTCATGGGGCAAGCGTCCCTCATCCATGTGCAAAGGCAGGAAAATATAAGTGCTGGGGAGGGGGGGCAAGCAAAAAGTATTACTGCCTGCCAGATCTTTGAACATTTTTTAATATATGTATGCCGTGGTCCTGCTCTGGTCAATAAAGGATCCTTTGGAGATAAAAAAAATTAATTAATTTCATTGCTACTTCATAACTGTAATTTTGCTACTGTTATGAATCAGGCGACCCCTGTGAAAGGGCCCTTCGATCCCCAAAGTGGTTGTGACCCACAGGTTGAGAACCGCTAGTCTAGAGAAACAAGACTAGTGATACTCACATATATATAAGAAATAACTTTATATCAAGAAGAACAATTGTATATTGAGAAAGCATCCCAGCCCAATCCAACTCAAGTCCATGGGTCCGATGCTAGCTGAAGCCCCCTGAGACTCACATGGTCGAAAGCTAATGATGTAGAAAGATAAGTGAGATGCAGGAAGACCACAAGCCAGTGAGCGGGCAGCCATGCGGATCCATGGCTGGTTGGAGCATGGCAGGCATCAGCAGCTCAGAGGTTGGTGCTAGGGTCAGCAACCACCTGGGCCCACCCCTGGAGGCAGACAGCGTCCCAGCAAGGATAAAAGCTAAGGACAGAAAAGGAGACATTGTCAGTGTCTCTCCTATAGAAAAAGCCACACCCTCAAGAGGTATCACCAGGCCACCACTTAATTGAACTCCATCCCACGTCCACACAGGTACCATCAGGTTGACATAACATCTGTCACAATTATTTGGGGAATAATATTAACTTGCAATTCTTAAAAACCAGTTCTTGGACAGAATGAGACCAATATTCAATTTTGGAGGCACTAAATATGCTAGAGCCTTCAAAAAGTTCATGAGAAAATGTAGTGAAACACTAATGTAATTTTTCTATGAACTATTTGCAAATCCCCTACTGGTGTATATGCATATATATATTGCATATATGTGTATATGCAATATATATATATGCATGTATATATATGTGTGTGTGAGAGAGAGATAGAGAAGGTTTAAGTTATTTGCACAGATTTATTAAACCCCACTGAAAAATAGAGCAAATGGGATTTTCTGAATTAAGCGTTTCATTCCTTACAAGAAATCGAGACTAACATACCACTTAAGACAGTCTTTTTAAATAAGTAAGAACCATCTGTAAAAGCAAGGCGGCTAAAGTGCACAGAAGATGGATGGAGCATCTCCAAGAACAGATGTGACCAATATTTCACGTGCTCCACTCTCACTTTTCCTTTCTACATTCCCCCTCCCTAAGTGGAGCAATACTGCAAGTGCACCTTCGCAGAGTGTGGTATGTCGACTTCTCCCCCTTCCACTATCATCCCTTCACAATGCAGAGTGAAACATCCAGGAGTGATGCTCCAACAGGGTACCCAGGCCTCATGGGGGAAATTCCAGCATGCATCCTGCCGTAGTGCTCGCTGCTGTTTGGGACTAAAAGTGTGGCCCAAGCTGAGCAGAAAACGTAACCATGCTCAACTAGACTTTATAAAGTCAACCCAAAAGGG